CCCCCCCCCCCCCACCTTCAATACTCCCTCCCTCCACCACTGACACACAGCAGAGGCAGTGTGCACCCTCTACACAACGCACTGCTGCGACTCGCCCAGGCACCTTCCCAACCCGCCACCCTCTACTCCCACCAACCCCCCACCTCCCTCCCCCCCCCGCTGAAGACGGGTCAGGCAGCAGTTGCAGGGGGGGGGAGCAGCAACCCCCTGCCCCCACCCCAGCGAGTTTTCCACTGGGCCAGCACACACACATAGGCAAATGTCATGGAGCACTGTGCGGGGTGTCCCCACACGGGGACTGCAGCGGGTCAAGGAAGCAGCTCACAACTACCTTCCCAAGGGGCAACTAGGGACGGGTAAGAAATGGTGGTCCCAGCCAGCGATGCCCACATCCCATGCATGAATAACAAAGAAGGTAGGGCTGTCCTGTAGCAATTCGAGAGACTATTACTGAGACCACACGTGGAGTACAGTGTACAGTTGTGCTCCCCTAAACGATACGGGAGGTCATGGGTGTCGAGGAGGGAATGCATTGTAGATTCACTCGATCGATTCCCGGGAATGAGAGGGTGGGTCTGCGAGAGGAGATCGAGTAGAACAGGCTGGTACTCCCTGGAGTTCAGGACAGCGAGTTCATGACTTAATTGAAGCGTTTAAAATTTGAAAGGGGTTTTGACTAGGTTGATGCTGAGAGACTGTTCCCTTCCACTCCTGCGGGAGGGAGAGTCTAGAGTACGCTGCGGGGGTCTGGTGGGGGTTCACAGCCTCGTTGCTGAACGGAGGATGGGGTGGGGGGGGGGGGGGGGGGGCGACTATTTCAGACTGAGATTGGGGGCGGTGGGGCAGGGATGTTTTGGGGATCTCGATCCTGGGCGACACTCACCCTTCCAGTGAATTCAAGACGGAGAGGTCAGGAGATGTTACAGACGCTGAGGGACGGAGGGTCAAGGTATGAAACTGTCCATTTTGGCAGGAAGAATGAAAAAGAGGCATGTTAGCTAAATGGGGAGAGGTGACAGAGCTCAGAGACGCAGAGGGATCTGGGTGTCCTGGTGCATGTGTCACAGAAGGTTAGTGTGCAGGCACAGCAAGTAATCAGGAAAGATAGTTGGATGGCTAGGGTTTAATGTGAGGGGAGGGAGGTTATGCTTCAGTTATACAAGACATCGGTGAGACCACTTCTGGAGGACTGTGTACAGTATTGGTCACGGTACTTCTGGAATGCATCAGAAGCACAGTAGAGAAGGTTTCCCCAGACTAATCCCTGAAGTGAGTGGATTACCTTATGAGGAAAGGCTAGACAGGCCAGGCTTGCATCCACTGAACTTTAGAAGAGGCAGAGCCGCTGAATTCAAACATCTAAGATCCTGAGGGGACTCGGCCAGGGAGGGACGTTGAAAGGATGTTTCCTCTTCCTAGGGACCTGAGGGGCAACTTTTTTCACGCAGAGAGGGTGGTGTGTGTATGGAACGAGCTGCCAGAGGAAGTGGTGGAGGCTGGTACAATTACAACAGTTAAAAGGCACCTGGATGGGTACATGGATGGGAAAGGGTTTAGAGGGATATGGGCCAAATGCTGGCAAATGGGACTGGATTAATTTAAGATACCTGGGTCGGCACGGATGGGTTGGACCGAAGGGTCTGTTTCTGTGCTGTACAATGCTATGACTTGTGGGAGAATCTAGGACTAGGGGTCACTGCTTAAAAATATGGGGTTACCTATTTAAAACAGCGGTGGAGAAACTGCAGAGGGTCAAGAGGTTTTGGAATTCCCTTTCTCAAAGGGCAGTGGATGCTGAATCTTCAAATATGTTTAAGGCAGAGGGGGACAGATTCTCGATAACCGAGGGGATGAAAGGTTATCGGGGTGCCTGCAGGAATGTAGAGCTGAGGTTAAAATCAGATCAGTCCGTGACTGTGCTGCATGATGCAGCGGGCTTGTTGGGGATGGATAAGTGGGGCTGAATGGCCTCCCTCCGCTCCTGTTCATTCAGCCCATCGGGGCTAGGGAGGGGTGACGGGGAGAGATGGAGGGACAGAGAGAGTTGGGAGAAATCACTCACTCCAGCACGTCCCGGTTGAATTGCTTCTGCCGGTTCCCCAGGAATTCCCCGATCATCTGCCGGCTCAATCCCTTCCGTTCCAGGATGAAGCGTGCGACGCCAATTGGTGTGTCTGCTACAAAACCGCGCTCGATCAAATACTGGATCCCCTTTTCTGGCTTCCTGCACACCATCAGGACACAGACACAGACACAGACACAGACACAGACACAGACAGAGAGAGACACAGACAGAGACAGAGAGAGACACAGACAGAGAGACAGACACAGACAGAGACAGAGAGAGACACAGACAGAGACACAGACACAGACACAGACAGAGAGAGACACAGACAGAGACACAGACACAGACACAGACAGAGACACAGACACAGACAGAGAGAGACACAGACAGAGACACAGGCACAGACAGAGACACAGACAGAGACAGAGAGAGAGACACAGACAGAGACAGAGAGAGAGAGACAGAGACAGAGACACAAACAGAGACACAGAGACCGAGACACAGACACAGACAGAGGCACAGACAGAGGCACAGACAGAGACACAGACACAGACAGAGACACAGACACAGACAGAGACAGAGACAGACACAGACAGAGGCACAGACAGAGACACAGACGCAGATAGAGACAGAGACACAGATAGAGACACAGACACAGACAGAGAGACAGACACAGACAGACAGAGAGACACAGACACAGACAGAGAGACAGACACAGACAGAGACAGAGAGAGGGAGAAAATGTTGAGGTTTACACATTATCTTTCACACAATAACAGGAGCAGGCCATTCAGCCCCCTCCTCGAGCCTGTCACACAGGAACAGGAGGCCATTCAGCCCCCTCCTCGAGCCTGTCACACAGGAACAGGAGGCCATTCAGCCCCCTCCTCGAGCCTGTCACACAGGAACAGTAGGCCATTCAGCCCCCTCCTTGAGCCTGTCACACAGGAACAGGAGGCCATTCAGCCCCCTCCTCGAGCCTGTTACACAGGAACAGGAGGCCATTCAGCCCCCTCCCCTCCCCCTTGAGCCTGTCACACATGAACAGGAGGCCATTCAGCTCCCCCTCTTCTTGTGCCTGTTACACAGGAAGAGGAGGCCATGCGGCCACGAGCCTGTTACACAGAACACGAGGAAGCTTTTCAGCCTCCCTCACATGGGGGGGCATGTGGGTGGTAGTTGGGGTGGTGGGTGTTTCTAGGGATTAAGGAGGGAGCCCTGCGGTGGTTGTGGTGCCAGGGGTACCCGCTGGGTGCAGTCGAGGTCCACTGGCACCGACTTGTTGAAGAGACAGAGGAATGAGATAGAGGGAGGCAGAGAGAGAGAGTGAAAGACAGACAGACCGAGAAAGAGAGAACAAAACAGTGAGAGAGTGAGGGAGAGAGAGATACAGAGAGACACAGAGAAAGGGGGAGAGAGAGAGAGAGAGAGAGCAAGAGAGACAGAGAGACACAGAGAGGGAG